GGCCTAACCCGAACCTTTTCGTGGGGATATGGGCTTGCATGCGAGTAGTGAGCAAGATGCGAAGGTCGATAACAGAGAGAGAATCGAGACAAACTTCCCAGAAGTACGGTATAAATCACGTAGGAATTTCCACTAAACACAACTCTATGAGAGCATCAAATTAAAACAACTAATAAGACTGGCAAAAGATAACAATGGCGGTCACTGCTCCGCGTAAAGTTCTAACGGAGACTCAATGGACGGTCACTATCGGCGATAATTTGTCGCGCGCCACAAAATCCATGGGGACCGAATGTACCGTAGAAAAGCTTTCAACTCAGACTGCACTGCTGTCGCCATCAACACAAGGTAACCACAAAACACTGCCACTCCCAAAACAAGCACGAGAGTACCTAAAAGTTCACCTCCACAAACATAGTATGCTGGTGAAGGCTCACCTGCTTGTATATTAGCGAGTTGGGAATGCAGGAGATACGCGTTAATGACAATGAGTGAAATCGCGCACGCCCAGCAGATAATCTTGAGCCTCCTTCCAATCACCCAATCCTGAAGGCACTAAGTTCATCTCCACCACTCATTCTGGTGTTTACTACATGTCCCATGACTTTCGGGTCCCCGACAAAATGCAACAACGGCAAGAGCGCGAATGGTAGTTGAACCGACTGGAGAATATTCAGCCAATCGTTGACCGCTGACAGGGAAGCCGCTGACTCCCCAGCGGCACTACTCTGCCAAACGGCTACAAACAAGGCGGGGACCTGAAGGGGATAATTCCTCCATTAAGACAAGTCTTTACATTGTACCAGCGCTATTGACCTCGTCACAAGCAATCGAAGCCAGAGCGGGATGCGCAGTCCCAAGAAACCTTCCATGACGTATTGACCGGCGAGCGAGCCTATGAGGAGGACAGCCACTGATGATTACAAGACCTCAGTGATCGACCACCGGTCATAGTGCTGGCTTGTCCTGCTGCTAAAACGCCTATTGCGAAGAGAGTGGCTGCGAACTCAGATGAGCCAACTAGCGAAGCGAGAGCCGATCC